CTGATCAATAACTTATGTAAAAGCAGTAAAATAGATTTCCCAATTACAAATGCTTCGAAAATATGAAAACAAATAAACTGAAAATTTTCCCAGGAATCTATCAGAATTTCGAACGAACCATCAAACATTCACACGTAACAATTACTTACTATCTTGAATTTCTGAAGTGTTCACATCGACACATTCCATTGTTGCGTTGAATGCTGTAAATCTGATGATGAACTCTTTCACAAATCAACACATTAAAATGAAAAAGGTCTTCCGCTGAAAACGAAAACAGTGGCAGAAAAACAAAAAATTCTGCTTCTCTTTGGATTATTTCTTCGCAAGACAAAAGTGATTATTATTTGACAGTAACAAACCTCCTTTCTGATCCATGCACATGTATTTAAGTCCGCTTGTCAGCACATCGAATAACTCATAACTACCACAATGTTTCATTTGCTCTAAACACTTCCGTGCTTCTTTGAATCTACTGAAAGTAATGAGTATCGCTCAGCTTCTTCTCTTGAACCTTTTGCATTATTTTTCGAATATGTTCGAGTTAATCAATTGGTATTCGAAGTAAACACGGATATTGCACATGAAGAACTAACAAGCAAACATTTTGGTAGCGTTCGTAATGATTACCAGACTTGATGGCCACATCGACTGTTTTAGCAAAATATTTATTGCATCCTAAATTAATGAACGATTTCAGTTATTTCTGGAATCTTTGATTGAATTTGCAATTTGAGTGAATTACCTATAGAGGAGGTAGAAGAGAATGTGTTATTCGACTATCATGACTTACTCGAGTGCACTCATACTTGTAGATTCATGAGAAGAAATATTGCTAATCTCTTGAATACAAATGAAACTTTTTGCATCAATCGCATGCAAACATGCAACTGGAAACGATCAACGTAATGGCGGTTGTTCTTCCCGAAGAAATATTCCCGCAAGAAAGCTGATATTATGAGCACGATGCAAATTGCTTTCAGCATTGTAACTAATGCTGATTGAAAAACAATGTCGAGAAAGTGGTACCACATCGCATGTTATGGACTGACTAACGTCCCAAAAAAAAATGTTTTCGATATGACATAACCAAGAAGTTCGATATTTGGAAGCTGTGTTCATCACAAAACCTATTGTCATAGTCGTAATATTTTTAAAAGAAAAAACGCACAAAACCTTCAAAACAATCCGGCAATTCAGCTCCAGCAACCGATAACAATTTTTCGTTTTCAGTTAGAAGATCACCCACACTACCCATCATCTGTCTGTCTTTTGTTGCATTCTTTTGATTTTGTGCTTTGTCCTTCGGCATTATTGAGTTGCGATCGAGAGGCGATATGGTGGATGGTGTAATTTTTGGAACTGAATTCTCATTACATAATTCAGATTGGAGATAGTACTATAGAATTCAATGAGTGAAGTATACCTACATGCCGAATAGACATTCGATATATCAAGCAATGAGTGATTTACTGTAAAATGAAAAGTATTACTGTTCACATCGAATCGACTTTGAATTGAACAACTGAGATTGCTTTACGAGATCAGGCCAAACATGACATTTGTTTTCAGAAGATATGTGAAAGGGAAATTCCAGCAAATACCCCCTTACCTGATCGGTGGAACTTTGTTTTTAATGTTAACGAATGGCAGTTAAGAAGGAAGAAAATTAGCAATTGTCTCCTCATTGCAAACATTTCACATTCGTAATAATCCTGAAAATGAGCCCCAAATACTGTCAAGCCAATGGCGATAAGCAAGAGTTAGGGTGCAAAAAAACGCACAAAAATATTTCACGATAACATTCAAAGGAGACATGTCGTTGACTCAGTTTCCTTAAAATAATAATAGTAATAATTGTAGCAAATAACCACCCAATATGATGCATCACTATAAAGTGATTACTTCATATAGACAACGTTCACAGAATGCATATGCAACCGGTGTTGAATGTTCAGATCAAGTCTATCGCTCAATTATCAGCATGCAAACGGAATGCTTCATATAGATCAGTTGAATACGATTGAACAATCGCGAACGACTAGCATAAATCGCTAGAAATCATTGCGTTTCACTCCGAGAATATCAATATCCAGATGGTGGTTTTCATGAAGTCGCCAGTTCTAAGCAACTACTAACCCACTTAATTCTAGCAACTGACGAATGTGAGATCGCTAAAAATTACGAAGCTCTTTTCCATAATTGAAAATCTCATTTCACTTCATTCTGAACGAATCAATTCTATCGAATGGGACCAACACATTCAAAGTTTTAACGCTACTTACTCTCCAGAAGCTCTTTTTCTGTTTTCAATTTTATCCTTCATTTTCCACGATGACAGCGAAAGTTCGGAACAAATATTAGCATTGAATTTATTTCTGTTGTCTCACGGAAAATCTCCTCGCAAAAATAGTTTATTTCTTGTATCGGCATAAAAATTCTACAAATTCGAATCAATAGCAACAATGCAAATCATGAAACAGTAAACGTTAAACTATCAAAATATCCTATAGTAACACTATATCCTAAATTATATTCAGATACGTACATACAACAGCCAAGTTTATCTCTCATACACAACAATGTACAAGACAACCTGACAAGAAAATCCACATTCTTGATGCTCTTACAAGGCTATCATCTAAAAACAAGTCCAGTGACGACTTCAATCCAATCAAAATGATCACTGTCCTATCTTTTAAGAGTGCTCGTTCCCATTCAGGAGCACATTATTAGGCATATATCATCACATAAGAATGTATCATTCCCTCATAAATTACACATCATCACATGATCATGAGGCTTGAAGTTCATTTTGAGAAGGTTGAGTGCCTGACTGCAATAACCGAGGTGCCGAGGAGACAGTTGCTGCATTCACAATCAAATCCCATGAATACGATGAACACTTAACAGGTGACGGTAATGAAACACCACGAAAATGATATTGTGCATCCACGTAATCCACCTGCAACACCGAATTCACATCAATGGATAGTGAGTTATCAGTTAAAACAAATTCAATGGGCATTAAATGGATGTGATCACTTGCATTGTTTCCAACAGATATCAACTAAACATTATCAAATCGACAGAAGTTTCAAGAGAATTCATACCTAGTTTATCCGAATTCTTAGTAAAAACTGCTGCAAATAGTTGCGAACACTGTTTAACAAATAATAAACAACAGTAACT